TATATATATAAAGGCGTTTTACACCTTCCCACCTTCTTGTAATATTCTGAACAATGTTTCTAAACTCTAAGCTCTCTAAAAGAGCACAGAATGTCATGATTTCAGCTCCCTGCCTCCTCTCTGCCACAGCTGCACTCTGCACTCTTGGCCACGCTCACTTCTCTGCTGCAGAACGGAGATCGACGAAGGAGGAGGGAGGAAGAGCTGCAGGAGGAAGTTTCTCCTGCAGTGTGGGCTGCACACAGGTGCAGCAGGTGCTAAATAATTCAAAATAATTCATTTAAAATAAATTCCATGTTGATTGTGCGGCTCATCCACCAATCAGCCAATTGTGTGTCATGTCCAATCTTATTTTGAAAAACCGCGATAGTGTGAGTCTGCGAAAAATGAACCGCGAAGTAGCGAGGGACGAATGTAATACACATGTGTTTTCCAAAGTCAGATCGCTGTGGCAGTTGTTTTGAACTGGGTCAACTCTGAAGAATATCAGACACATTAACAGACAGACACACACACCCACACAAAAGCATTGTCTGCCATCACCTTTTGGCAACAGGCAATTAAACCTTGCCTTACATAAAAAAATGTAGACCTTGATTGAGAACCATTTTGACTCCACACCTTGGAGGATACTCTGTTCTTCTCCATTTACAGTAAATATCATACCATGTAGACAAAAATGAAGCAAGATCCTAGTAAAGATGTTACCTTGACCAGTATTAAGACATGTTTACCTTTGAGGGCAGGTGGAACAGACTTGGTTGTGCAGAAAGTATACATGTCAGAGAATGGACCCTCCCCGGCGTCACTGATGGCCTGTATTCTGAAGCTGTAGCTGCAGTACTCTATCAGTCGCTGAACCTTATAAGTATGGCTGGGACCATGATAGATTGTCACAAACCTGAAATACAGAGAAACACACAGAGAAATTACAAAATGCAGGTATTACCAATCTGGATGGGAAGGAACAGAAATCTTGGCATAATGAAAGACTTTTAATTGGCAACAATAGGAGAAACTGGAGACCCCATAGCACACCGAAATATTATAGGCAGAAACATGGGTGTGCTATGGGGTCTCCAGTTTCTCCAATTGTGGCCAACCTGTACATAGAAGAGGTAAAAAAGAGAGCCTTGACGTCCTTTTCAGGGACACCACCAAGTCATTGGTTCAGGTATGTTGATGACACCTGGGTTAAAATTAAATCTCAGGAAGTCCAACATTTTACTGATCACATACACTCTGTAGATAAATATATTAAGTTCACATAAGAAGATGTAAAAATTGACTGGGTTTGTGGTACACCTCAGTTTGCAAATGTCCTCTATCAGAGACTGAGACCTCACAGTCTAAGAAAGCCAGCCTGTCAATTTTTACATCTTCTTATCACACAGACCAGTGTTTGCAATTTGACTCCCATCACCCTTTGGAGCACAAGTTAGGAGTAATCATGACTCTGTACCACAGAGCAGACAGCATCCCCACTAACTCAGGAGCCAGGCAGAAGGAGAAATCCCACACAAGACAGACTCTAGAAAAATGTGGATATCCTAACTAGGCCTTCCTGAAAGCAAAGAAGAAACCCAAACAGGACTCCAGTCAGCCATCAGGTGACAATGAGGAAACCCAGACCCAGACCAGTGGTCATTCCGTATGTTGTGAGAGTTTCAACAGCGTCCCAGTGGCTTTTAAACCCCCAAATACATGGCGGCAAAGACTGGTTCAGCCCAAAGATCCAGACCCCAGCACAAACAGAGTAATATTGTGTATGCTGTTCAGTGTCAGGAGGCTGTGATCAGTCTTACATTGGGGAAACTAAACAGCCACCGGCCAAAAGGATGGCCTGGCACTGAAGAGCAACATCATCAAGCCAGGACTCTGCGGTCTACACTCATCTCCAGGCCAGCGGTCACTCTTTCAGGAATGAAGATGTTCACATCCTTGATAGAGAGGAATGATGGTTTGAGTAGTAAAGGAGGCCATATTTGTGAAAATAAACCGTCCATCATTAAACAGGGGTGGATGCCTCCGTGTTCAACTGTCCCCCTCTTACAATGCTGTTATTGCTAGTATCACTCAGCCCCCTGTGAATAACAAATAGCCATCAGTGTGCTAATGATCCATCATTAGGCTGATGGTCCTTCTTGATCATTGTGCGGAGAAACTTCCGGTAAGATGGCGACCATGTACATGGCTTGCAATCCACCTCTGCTGATGGTGTTTGGATTATTTTAGTTTTGTTCGATTTTTATCTGTGATATAGACTCACTGCAGATGTATGACCGACACCGGCTTCTGGATCTTCGTTTTTCTGTCATCGATGTTGCTTATTTGGAACATTATGAGCATACCTCTGGACACCCCCCCCCCCCCCCTACACACACACACACACACTTTCCTCCCTGCTGGCAGACGTGCCAGCTTACCTCCGCTGCGCTCCTCACCTCCCTGCCCGGAGACATCGCTTCAGACGCCGGGGAAAACTTACTGGGCGGCTGGTAAAGTTTAAAGCCCAGTGCACTGCATCTTCCTCTTCAGCTGGTGGTCATGGTTTCCATCACCAGCTTCCCAAGTGCCCGGACCAGGTAAACAATGGGAGATGTCAGCTGGTGCACAGCTCAGACCGACCCGGAGGGGCTGTTATTGAAAACCAGTGGCCATTGGCGCACGCAAACTTCACCGCTGCTCGCTCCACTTTGGACAGTATCCGGATGTGTTTGGTCAATGCAAGATATGTTACCAACAAAACTTTTATCCTAATGGACTACTTTCAAGAGCTCAAGTTGGACTTTTTGTGCATCACAGAGACTTGGATGTCTCCGGGTGAGTCCAGCACCTTGACGGAATTATTGCCACCAAACTGTCTGTATTTTAATGCGCCGAAGGCCATCATGGTGGTGGATTATTAGCAATATTCAAACCAACTTTTGACTGTAAACAACTGCCCATCCCAGTTTCCCGCACCAGCTTTGAGCTGAGCGTCTTTGAGCTGAGCGTCTTTGAACTCGGCCATTCGCCTCCAACGTTATTTGCACTCATCTACCGCCCACCTCACTCTAAGGATTTCATAAATGAGTTTTCTGACTTCTTAGCTGAAATCACACCAAGATATAATCTTGTTTTCATTTTTGGGGACTTTAATTTGCACGTGTGCTGTCCTGAGAAGCCCTTGGTTAAGGACTTTTTAGATTTATTGGACTCTTAATCTAACTCAGCATGTAAACGGTCCTACCCAAGAGTGAGGACATACACTGGAGCTTGTTTTAACTTGTGATGTGACTGTTAGTAATCTTGAAATTGGTGATAATGTTTTTTCAGACCACATGCCAGTCCAGTTTGAGTTCACCCTCCCCCATCTAACTCCTAAGCCGTGCATTCCTGCACGTCGCAGCCAGACCATCAACCATTTCACTGCTGCACGTTTCACAGATGTTTATAAATGAAATAATAATTCAGCCCCCAGTGTTTCTCATTACCACTGAGGAGCTGACATCCCAGTTCAACTCTGTCTGCTTAAAGACTTTGGATCATGTTGCGCCTGTTAAAACCAAAAACTCAAAACTCAGAGTAGAACCTTGGCTGAGTGACGTCACCAAGGCTGTTTGGAGGGCATTAACAGAGTACTCGAGTAATCTACACATCGATTGCTAGGACATCTATCGATGTTAAAAATGTAAAGTCGGGTATCCGTAGTGACGTCATATTATGTGACCACGTATGACTGTAGGGGGCGGTGCTGCACTGTTGCAGGTCACAGAGTATGGTGTAACACCGGGTCCAATCCACCAGAACCAGTTTTGGTTTAAGTTTAGTTTTTGACGTGCTGCGTTTCTTCACGTTTGCAGTTTAATAATAATAACTAATAGTTTATCCTGATGCATGCTCAATAATCCAGGTAGAAAAATCCAAAAAAGTTCAATCTGGTCCTCTGGACATTCAAAAAAACAAAAAACAAAACAAAGCAAAAAAATATAGAAACGTTTTGTCTCTCATCCAAGAGACTTCCTCAGTCTGAGGTGCTGTTTTCAGCTCAGTCTCTTAAAAAGCACCTTCTCAGAGTGGATCAACCAGTTTGCTGCTGACAACCAAAACCAGCTGATCACATGCTCAAGAAGGACCATCAGCCTAACAATGGATCATTAGCACACTGATGGCTGTTTACTATTCGCAGAGGGCTGAGTGATACTAGCAATCACAGCATTGTAAGAGGGGGACAGTTGAACCCGGAGGCCTCCACCCCTGTTAAATGATGGACGATTTCTTTTCACAAAGATGGCCTCCTTTACTCCTCTCTCAAACCATCATTCCTCTCTGTCCAGGATGTGAACATCTTCATCCTTGAAAGAGTGACCGCTGGCCTGGAGATGAGTGTAGACCGCAGAATCCTGGCCTGATGATGTTGATCTTCTGTGCTGGGCCATCCTTTTGGCCAGTGGCTGTTTAGTTTCCCTGATGTAAGACTGATCACAGCCCTCCTGACACTGAACAGCATACACAACATTACTCTGTTTGTGCCGGGGGACTGGATCTTTGGGATGAACCAGTCTTTGCCGTAATGTATTTTGGGGTTTAAAAGCCACTGGGACATTATGTTTAGAAAATAAACGTCTCAGTTTCTCTGATACTCCCTCAACATACGGAATGACCACTGGTCTGGGTCTGGGTTCCTCCTTTTCACCTGATGGCTGACTAGAGTCCTGTTTGGGTTTCTTCTCTGCTTTCAGGAAGGCCCAGTTAGGATATCCACATTGCTCTAGAGCCTGTTTTGTGTAGGATTTCTCCTTCTGCCTGGCTCTCGAGTTAGTGGGGATGCTGACTGCTCTGTGATACAGAGTCCTGATGACTCCTAACTTGTGCTCCAAAGGGTGATGGGAGTCAAACTGCAAATACTGGTCTGTGTGGGTGGGTTTGCGGTACACCTCGGTTTGCAAATGTCCTCTATCAGAGACTGAGACCTCACAGTCCAAGAAAGCCAACTTGCCATTTTTTACATCTTCTCGTGTGAACTTGATGTATTTATCCACAGAGTTGATGTGGTCAGTAAAATGTTGGACTTTCTGAGATTTAATTTTAACCCAGGTGTCGTCAACATACCTGAACCAATGACTTGGTGGTGTCCCTGAAAAGGACGTCAAGGCTCTTTTTTCTACCTCCTCCATGTACAGGTTGGCAACAATAGGATAAACTGGAGACCCCATAGCACACCCATGTTTCTGCCTATAATATTGCTTCCCATATGTGAAGTAGGTTGACTGCAGGCACAGTTTCAAGAGTTGACACAGTTGTTCTGTGGAAAGCGTGGTCCTGCTGCTCAGAGTGGTGTCTGATTTTAATCTTAAACTGACCACCTCTACTGCATCATCAACAGGAATGCACGTAAAGAGTGATGTGACATCAAAAGAGACCATTGTTTCATCAGTCTCCATGATGACATCCCTCACCTTATCCACAAAGTCCATGGTGTTCTGTATGTGGTACACATATGGTATGGTATGTGAGCAGCTGGTTTTGGTTGTCAGCAGCAAACTGGTTGATTCACGAGAGAAGTTGCTATTTATATAAGACTGAGCTGAGTACAGCACCTCAGACTGAGGAAGTCTTTCAGATGAAAGATGAAATGTTTCTACAAATTTTTTTGTTTTATTTTGTTTTTTGAATGTCCAGAGGACCAGACTTAACTTTTTCTACCTGGATTATTGAGCATGCATCAGGATAAATATAACGTTGCTACTTTGCAGATTTCAATTATCGTGTTCGGAACATAACCCCCGTGACAAACGAGGTTCTACTGTATAAACATGTAGAGCAATTAATAACAGCAGCAAAGAGAGTGAATGTGGTCAGTTTGTTCTCCAGTACTCCAGCAACTATAGCAGTATAACTAAGGGATAGCTCAGGAAACCCAAGCCAAACATAACTATTGTATTAATCAAAAAAATAAAGTCTTAAGCCTAGACCTAAAAGTGGTATCAAAGTGGATCTCATTTTGACAGAAACTGAAAGTTAGTACTAAAAAGGAGGAGCCTGATAACTGAACCAATGATTACTTTGAGTGTTTTATTAAAATCTGTTCACTCCATCTCCATCTTTTACTGCTTATCCATAGTCGGGTCGCAGAGGCAAAAGGTTCATGGGAGAAACCCAGACATTCCTCTCCCAAGCGATGCTGTCCAGCTGTACACAGGTTCATAAAATATTTTGTTAACACAACAAACAAACAAACGCATACACACATGCACAAGTTAAAACATTATCACCCTTTAGCTTTGGGGGGCAGATAAGAAAACCTGTTCTAGTCTGCCAGGATAAATCATCCATCCATTTTCCTCCGCTTATCCGGGGTCGGGTCGCTGGGGTAGCAGCTTAAGTAGGGAGGCCCAGACTTCCCTCTCCCCAGCCACTTGGGCCAGCTCCTCCAGGGGAATCCAGAGGCGTTCCCAGGCCAGCCGAGAAACATAGTACCTCCAGCATGTCCTGGGTCTTACACTGGGTCTCCTCCCGGTGGGACGTGTCCGGAACACCTCACCAGGGAGGTATCCGGGAGGCATCCTAAACAGATGCCCGAGCCACCTCAACTGGCTCCTCTCGACGTGGAGAAGCAGCGGCTCTACTCTGAGTCCCTCCCGGATGATCGAGCTTCTCACCCTATCTCTAAGGGAGAGCTCAGACACCCTGCGGAGAAAACTCATTTCGGCCGCTTGTATTCGAGATCTCGTTCTTTCGGTCACAACCCAAAGCTCATAACCATAGATGAGGGTAGGAATGTAGATCGATCGGTAAATTGAGGGCTTCGCATTTTGACTCAGCTCTCTCTTCACCACGACAGACCTATACAGCGCCTGCTTCACTGCAGACGCTGCGCCTATCTGCCTATCGATCTCACGCTCCATTTTTCCCTCATTCGTGAACAAGACCCCAAGATACTTGAACTCCTCCACTTGGGACAGGACCTCCTCCCTGACCCAGAGAGGGCCCTCTACCCTTTTCTGGCTCAAGACCATTGCCTCGGATTTGGAGGAACTGATCTTCATCCCGGCCGTGTCGCACTTGGCTGTGAACCGCTCCAGCGAAATCTGTAGATCACGATCTGATGAAGCCAATAGGACCACATCATCTGCAAAAAGCAGAGAAACAATCCTAAGGCCACCAAAACAGATCCCCTCAACACCTTGGCTGCGCCTAGAAATTCTGTCCATAAAAGTTATGAACAGAATCGGTGACAAAGGGCAACTTTGGCGGGGTCCAACTCTCACTGGGAACATGCCCGACTTACTGTCGGCAATGCGGACCAGGCTCTGACACCAGTCATACAGGGACCTAACAGCCCGTATCAAAGGGCCCGGTACCCCATACTCCCAGAGTACCTCCCATAGGGTTCCCTGAGGGACGCGGTCGAACGCCTTCTTCAAGTCCACAAAGCACATGAAGACAGGTGGGGCAAACTCCCACGCACCCTTCAGAACCCTGCTGAGAGTGTAGAGCTGGTCCAGTGTTCCACGACCAGGACGAAAACCGCACTGCTCCTCCTGAATCCAAGGTTTGACTATCCGATGGACCCTCCTCTCCAGAACTCCCGAATAGACCTTACCAGGGAGGCTTAAGAGTGTGATTCCCCTGTAGTTGGAACACACTCTACGGTCCCCCTTTTTGAATAGGGGGACCACCACTCCAGTCTGCCAATCCAGGGGAACTTCCCCCGATGTCAATGCAGTATTGCAGAGTTGCGTAAAACAACACAACCCTACAACATCCAGAGCCTTAAGGAACTTTGGGCGAATCTCATCCACCCACGGGGCCCTGCCACCGAGGAGCTTTTTAACCACCTCGGCGACCTCAGCACCAGAGATTGGAGGGCCCGACCCAGAGTCCCCAGGCTCTGCTTCCTCAGTGGAAGACGTGCCGGTGGGATTGAGGAGGTCTTCAAAGTATTCTGCCCACTGACCCATGACATCCCGAGTTGAGGTCAGCAGCACACCACCCCTAATATAAACAGTGGATAGGGGACAAGAATCGCCTTGAAGCCATGCAGAAGTCATTCTCCATGGCCTCTCTGAACTCCTCCCATGCCCAAGTTTTTGCCTCAGCGACCACCCGAGCCACATGTCACTTGGACTGTCGGTACCCATCAGCTGCTTCTAGGGTCCCACAGGCCAAAAAGGCCCAATAGAACTCCTTCTTCAGCTTGACAGCATCCCTCACCGCTGGTGTCCACCACCGGGTTCGAGGGTTGCTGCCGCGACAGGCACCGACAACCTTGTGGCCGCAGCTCTGGTAAGCCGCCTCAACAATAGAGGCATGGAACATGGCCCACTCGGGCTCGATGTCCCCCACCTCCCCTGGAACATGTTCGAAATTCTCCCGGAGGTGGGAGTTAAAGCTCCATCTCACAGGAGACTCTGCCAGACGTTCCCAGCAAACCCTCACAATATGTTTGGGCCTGCCAGGTCTGACCAACATCCTCCCCCACCATCGGAGCCAACTCACCACCAGGTAGTGATCAGTGGACAGCTCTGCCCCTCTCTTCACCCGAGTGTCCAAGACATGTGGCCGCAGATCAAATGAGATGACGTCAAAGTCGATCATCGAACCGCGGCCTAGGGTGTCCTGGTGCCAAGACCACATATGGACACCCTTATGCTTGAACATGGTGTTTGTTATGGACAATCCATGATGAGCACAGAAGTCCAACAACAGAACACCACTCGGTTTCAGATCAGGAGGGCCGTTCTTCCCAACCACACCCCTCCAGAGCTATCACCTTTCTATCATAAACTAGTCTGCCCTTTGAAATCAAAAAGGCAATTGTATGCAGACAGCTGCTCAATGGATTTTTAAAATAATTCTTCATAAACCCTAGAGATGGTTGTGTGTGAAAATCCCAGTTCATCAACAGATTTTAAAATATGAAGACCAGCCAATATGGCACCAAGAACCACATCACCATTAGAGTTACTAAAACTCCATTTCTTCTGCATTCTGATGTTCAGTTTGAGCCTCAACGTTTAGAAGAACATTTAGTTGCCTAAATTTATTGAGTTGCTGCCATGTGTCTAATTGAGTTAACAATGAACTTAAAAGGCTCTGGGAGTTTAGATGCATTTATGTGGCACTGTTACAGCATCACATACAGGGCTGGCATAGATACTGCAATGTTTTGAGTTGTTTTTCCTGTGTGGATGAAAATATTCTAGAAGTTTTTTTTATTTTTTTTTATGCCAACTTCATGAGAATGGTTTGAAAAATAACAAATAATGAGATTGTTGCTCAATTCTCCATGGTGCACAAAAACAATTTCACAACAGTGTGTCCAACATGGTCACAGATGCATATAGTGAATATATGGCAGACAGAAAGGGTAAACAAATTGGTGGAAAGCACAAGTTTTTACTTTTTTTGGGCTAGTAAAGAGTGCCAGTTTTCATGCTTCTGGTTGTAAATTGTGTGTTACATTAACAGATCACAGCCGGCTGGATGTGTTCCCATCTGTTGCCTTCTCTTTGTACTATGACTGGGTTGCCAAGATACCTGGTTTCCAACTTGATACCAGCCTAGTTGTAATTTAAGCACAAATGTTTACAACCAAAAGGTAAAAGGGCTGCAGAAGAAGGAAGCAAAAAACTACCATGTGTACAGACAGTCAACTGAAACAAGAAAAAAAATTATCTTTGTTAGGATTTCTGCTTTTGGTACAATATTTAAGAAGAAAATAAATCTGTCCTCTTGCAATCTTTGTAAATGTGTATTTAACTCAATGTTTGTGGTTTTATTCCAACACTTTCTTTGCCTTCCAGGCAGCTAATTCTCTACATGTTTACCTTGTTCTCTCTCTTGTCTGGCCAGCTGGTTAAATGGAGGGTTGATTATTGGATGCTGTTTCCCATTTGGTCACAAATGTCCTCAGCATGATTACTCCCTGGAACATGTAGTTAAGAGTCCACACACATGCAGATTTCCACAGGTACCTCCAACTACACTTCTACACACTTCCTCAGCTTCACATTAGGCACTATGGTTTAATGAAGAGCTGCTGGGTTAAGGAGTCCAAGGAAATTAGTGCAGCAGGCGACCAAAAGCCAGGGTAACAAATATGTTTAAGGCTCTATCACATTGATTACCGGTAGTTACTTTGCAAAGGACAGAAAGCAAGAGTAACTAAAAATATGATGTTCTTAAATATGTAACTTTTGTGGTGATGTCAACCTTTAAGTCGGATGTTTTACTTTTTATTTTTTCTTAATTCATTCAACTCTATCTGGATGCCATCCAGAAGCTATCTGGAGCTTTACAATAATAATGTGTTGTGTTGTCATCATTGTATGTTCCCATACAATGGCAAAATTGGCTCTCTGTGTTTAACCCATCCACCCCCAGGTGGTGCAGTGGGCAGCTATTGAAGGCGCCCGGGGAGATTTTAGGGGTAAGGTGTGCTGCTCAGAGCACAGAGTCTGCTGCCCTGCCGTCACACCATATATTAGAAAGCTCAAAGCCTAAACAGACATATTATGTGTACTGGTGTGTGTGTTTTACGTAAGCGTGTACGTGTGTACTCCACCTGTGGTTCTTGTCCTCCATTTGTAGTGTATAGACCATGTCATCAGCAAGCAGGGTGCGTATGTGTCCAAAGTTCTCGCCCCACTTGAGCTTCAGACTCTGTGGGCCAGCTGCTGAGCATTCAAGAGGGGGCGGGGCTGGGGGCAGGGGGCGTGTCTTTGCGAGGAGTGACATACTCATGGGACTGGAGCCAATGGTGTTCACTGCCTGGATTTGCACTCTGCAAATAAATGAAATAGTGAGAGATGTTTAATTACACCCTAAAAGTTACCATCTTCAACTGAATGCAAGAAAATGCAAAAATAAGGTTAGAAACATGGTGGCAAAATGAAACAAATAAATCACAATTTGAATCTTAATGTGACTATATAAAAGGATTGTGATGATAAGCTTAAATTAAACTAAATTGTTATGCTGATGATACTCAGTTATATTTGTCCATGAACACTGATGATTCTACTTCATGTCTTGAAAACATAAAACATGGATGACCCTTAATTTTCTGCTGTTAAACTCAGACAAGACAGAGGTTTTGGTTTTTGGACCTGAGCATTTTAGGAATAAAATTTGCATTCTTTCACTTTCTCTGATGGCATTAATCTGGCCTCCAGTTCTAAAATTAAAAATCTTGGGTGTTATTTTTGATCGGGACATGTCTTTTAACCCCCACATTAAAAATATTACTAGAACTGCCCTCTTCCACCTGCATAATATCATTAAGATTAGAAACATCTTATCTAAAAATGATGCAGAAAAACTGGTTCATGCATTTGTCACATCTAGACTGGACTATTGCAATTGCTTATTATCTGGGTTTCCAAAAACTTATTTATAAAGTCTTCAGTTGCTCCAAATTGCTGCTGCCAGAGTCTTAATGAGAGTTGATGGGAGAGATCATATCTCTCCAGTTTTAGTTTCACTTCACTGGCTCCCTGTCAAATTCAGAATAGAATTCAAAATCTTACTTCTAACCTACAAAGCTCTCAACAACCTATCTCCATCTTATATTACAGATCTTATTGTTCCATATTTTCCTAACAGAGCACGTCATTTTCAGACTGCAGGTTTACTTGTGGTTCCTAGAGTTTCCAAAAGCAGAATAGAAGGAAGATCTTTCAGTAATCAGACTCATCTCTTGTTGAACCAACTTCCAGTTCTATTTCATATAGGCTTCGTCCTTTAAGGCTTCTCGCTAGTTGGTTTATCCCTAAGGCACTCAGCACTGCACTGAAGATTTTAGTCCACGCCCACCTGCTGTGTGGGCCTCACCCCCGGTCCGTATAAATTACGGTGAGACCGGGAATTGGCTCCCATTTTTTCTTCAGCCAGCTAGCTAGCACTGTCAGAAGAACGAAGAACGAAAAGTTGTCCAGCTTTGACCGGCACAACCTTTGCTAAGGATGCCTGGGTCTCCGCCACGCCAACCTCCTGCCGTCCCGGTGAGTTCTGCCTCCCCGAGGAGAAGCAGACGAACAGCCTTGTTCAAGGTAAGCGCCGAGGAGTGCTTTTCCGTGGCGGGCCGCTACCCGATGTTTTTTTCCTTGTGGTAATCGTATGATTTCCTCGAAAAAGGCGATGTTAGCAGCAGCCCCGCTGAATGTTTATTCTGTGGCGGGCCGCTACCCGATGGACGACGCCAACGCCTTTTCTAATGTGCTTTTCCTCGCGATAACCGAATGATTTCCTCAAAGGCGATGTTGGCAGCAGCCCCGCTGAATGTTTTTCCATGGAGGGCCGCTACTCTCTGGACGACGCCACCGCCTTTTCTAACATGTTTTTTTCTCGAGGTAAAGCGGATGATTTCCTCGAAAAAGGCATTGTTGGCAGCAGCTCCGCTGAATGTTTTTTTTTCTGTGGCGGGACGCTATGCGCAGGACGATGCCACCACCTTCTTTGACGCAGAGTCACGCAGTGAACCGAATGACTCCTCCGAGAAAGGTGATGCAGAGCTGCCCCTTCCCTCCTGGAGAGCGTAGTGATGGAAGACGAGTGGCCGAGCGAATGCTCAGCCACCTCGGATCTTCCCATGTCGGCGACCACACCGCTCCCAGCCGTCGGTGCCCTCCTCTCGGAGCTGCCCAACATAATCCAGGAGGATGTTAACACAAGGGACTTTCCGTCCCCCGCCTCCCTCCGCCCTGATCGGATGATCTGGCAGCAAGGTTGGCTCCACCCGGGCTCATCGCCCTGACCCCATCTGGCCTCGCTGTCCAGTTGTGACGTCACACTAGAACGAGGCTGCAGCTGGGCTGGCAAGCTGAAGACAGCCGCCTCCACCTTCGTCTCCATCTCCAGAGTGGAGGGTTTTACCGATCTGTGTTTTAACCCTCGGTGCCCCCCGGAGCCAAGCCTGGCAGGTGGCACTTGGGGAAAACACTTCCAGGATGGACCAGCAACCTGTCCCTCCAGGGAAGCATGACCAGATGGTGACAAGGTCTCCAACCGAGCTCACCAGTGATCATCCCAGACAGCTGCAGAGAACAACAATGTCACCCTGCTGGCCTACAGCATCTCAAAGAGGCTGGAAGAAGCAGACCTGCTGGAGGAGACAAATGTCCCTTTTGCACTGCCCCTAATAAGCTCCAACTCTGCTCAGCCCTGCGCACCCCTGCTCAGCCTGGCTCAGCTCAGCCTGGATTTGCACCTGCACTTTAGGACCGATTCTGGAGGTGTGTCCAGAATTTTATTCGTAATATAACATAGATGACAGATCAAAAGTTTAATCTGAGGAAATGTAACATTTTAAAGGAAAAATATGTTGATTCAAAATTTCACAGTGTCAACAAATCCCAAAAAAGTTGGGACAAGTAGCAATAAGTGGCTGGAAAAAGGAAATTGAGCATATAACAAACAGCTGGAAGACCAATTAAGATAGTGCAGCAATACCAGAATGGTGTTACCCAGCGTAAAATAGCAAAGACTTTTAAGTTATCATCATCAACTGTGCATAACATCATCAAAAGATTCAGAGAATCTGGAACAATCGCTGTGCGTAAGGGTCAAGGCCGTTAAACTCTACTGGATGCTCGTGATCTCCGGGCCCTTAACGTCACTGCACCTCAAACAGGAATGCCACTGTCAAGGAAATAACAGCATGGGCTCAGGAATACTTCCAGAAAGCATCATCAGTGAACACAATCCACCGTGCCATCCGCCGTTGACAGCTGAAACTCTACAGTGCAAAGAGGAAGCCATTTCTAAGCAAGCTCCACAAGTTCAGACACTTGCACTGGGCCAGGGGTCATTTAAAATGGAGTGTGGCAAAATGGAAGACTGTTCTGTGGTCAGATGAGTCACAATTTGAAGTTCTTTATGGAACAATGGGATGTCATGTCATCTGGACCAGAGAGGACAAGGACAGCCCAAGTTGTTATCAACACTCCGTTCAGAAGCCTGCATCACTGATGGTATGGGGTTGCATGAGCGCTTGTGGCATGGGCAGCTTGCATGTCTGGAAAGGCACCATTAATGCAGAGAACTATGTTCAGGTTCTAGAACAACATATGCTCCCATCTAGACGTCATCTCTTTCAGGGAAGACCCTGCATTTTTCAACACGATAATGCCAGACCGCATTCTGCAGCAATCACAACATCATGGCTATGTAGGAGAAGGATCCGGGTACTGAAATGGCCAGCCTGCAGTCCAGATCTTTCACCTATAGAGAACATTTGGCGCATCATAAAGAGGAAGGTGCGACAAAGAAGGCCCAAGACGATTGAACAGTTAGAGGCCTGTATTAGACATGAATGGGAGAGCATTCCTATTTCTAAACTTGAGAAACTGGTCTCCTCTGTCCCCAGACGTCTGTTGAGTGTTGTAAGAAGAAGTGGGGATGCCACACAGTGGTAAAAATGGACTTGTCCCAACTTTTTGGGATTTGCTGACGTCATGAAATTTGGAAACAACAGATTTTTCCCTTCAAATGATACATTCTCTCAGTTTAAACTTTTGATCTGTGATTTGTGTTCTATTCTGAATAAAATATTAGATGTTGGCACCTCCACATCATTGCATTCAGTTTTTATTCACAATTTGTTTAGTGTCCCAACTTTTTTGGAATCCGGTTTGTAAATAATATTAAATTATTGTTATATATGAATGTTTTTGTTAACTTATTTTATATATGAATATTTCTGTTCAGTGCCCTGACACGACTTCTGTTGTAACTTGGCGTTGTATAAATAAACTGAACTGAATCAAATCTGATTTACCAGAGTCTACAAAAACATTTATATTTAAATCTAAAAAAGTTAAGTCTGGTCCTCTGGATGTTCAAAAAAACAAAACAAACAAAAAAAAAATGTAGAAATGTTTTGTCTTTCATCTGTAAGACTTCAGTCTGAGGTGCTGTATTCAGCTCATAGCTATTTATATAAGACAGCTGAATACAGCTCCTCAGACTGAAGAAGTCTTTCAGATGATAGAAGAAACATTTCTACATTTTTTTGTTTGTTTGTTTTTAGAACGTCCAGAGGACCAGAATTAACTTTTTTAGATTTTTCTACCTGAATTATTGAGCATGCATCAGGATATCTATATTTAAAATTCTATATTTTTCTTCATCATTTGATGTATTTGCACTCATTGTGGTTTTGTTTCTTGTATACAGATTATTTTTAGCTTTGAATTAACGTTTAGCTTTGATTTAAAGCTTTAATTTAAAGTGTAATGCTTGTTTTGTGATTTGTACATCTGTGGGTTAAAATAATGTTGAACCAAAGGCTGTGTCTCTTCTTTAAACATGTTTGAGGAAAATATGAGAGATTCAATAATTTTGTCTTTTTATAATTTTTAATTTGAATGAACTTTAATAGATTATTTAATAAAATCAAAGGGAAAACAGGATTTCACAATAAAGTCGGCACCGTTTATTTATTTTTAATCTTCACTGATTAAAAAAAAATTATATTTTATACATAAAATGTAAAAAAAATAATAATAATTCCACCCCCCATCCCTCTATCCCGGTCCTCCTGCCTGCCAGGGCTCGAATCTGGCCTTTGTAAGCAGGCTCGGCCGGGGCTCGGCCTCGCGGGCTTCAACAGCTTGGCAGCTCGTATGGTCCTCTGCGGTGACACCACTTGCTCGAATTTTATAGTCGGTCACCAAACACAAAATACACCTGGACTTCAGAATTAAACACGGCGTTGTCATTATTGTTTTTAAAATCTTAAAAATAGATCCAGCTGCTGCTCCTAGTCCAGTGAATTTGCAAATG